CACTATGCATTGTTAAATATCAAAGGAGCAATGACAATCCATCCATTGAATTAAACATATTTTGTTATTTTTAAATTCCATCTGCTCCAAAATGTAAATTAATCCATTCTTGTAGTTAGTTTTAAGATAAACATCATCCATATTAACGTATGCACTTAGTAAATATTGATAAATTAAATTTGAATCAAATTGAATTCCATTTTCTTGAATTAAATTGTTTAACTATATTTTTAAATTAAAATTGTTTTTTTTGAGATGTAAATCGCGTTATCGATTTTATCGCCAGCAGAAAAAAACGAGAGAGGCCACATTGGCCTTTTTTCTGTTGCTGTCGAAATCGCCCGTATACAACCGCCATCCATTTTCAGTTTGGAAACCACGTGACTACATACATTTTCTGACATTATCGATAAAATCGTATCATCGAAAGATGTGGTTTGTCTCTGTACTAAATCCTCAGGATATAGAAGCGTGTTGATCATCCATAGGAAGGATAGTTTAATATTTCTTGAACGAAAAAATTTTAATTTCGCATCTCCTACATATGTAAATAAAAATTGTTGAATTTTAATAAACGAAATTGAAAATTCAAACAGATTAATTTAGTGAATTTTGTCTTATCTTAATATAATTTATCTTATAAGGGATGTTGGAGAAATGAAATTAGTAATAATATAATAATAATCAAAGTTATATCACTTTCGCTGTAAAAGAGATATATTTATCTTATAATACCTTATAAAATTACGAAGTTATGTATTTCTTTATGTAAATTTTCAGTTTCCGTTTTTACCAAACATAATTATTATAATATAACTCTTTTATTTTAGAATTCTGTCATTCACGTCTTATTCTAAAATAAAAAAATTTATTTAGTATTCATTGTTTTAAATAATATCACTTCCAACTTATTTCTTATTTAATATTTTTAATAAGTTTTCGGAACCTATTTTATATTTTTTATTTTAAACATATCGTATCAGTTTTTTACCGATTCCTACGATTATATATTTTAAATAAGTTTCTGAAACTTATTTTATATTTTTTATTTTAAATGAATTTTAAATAAGTAAATAATTAAATAATTAAAAACGTATGTATCATACGTAAGTTGAAAGAATTTCTGCAACACAGAATAATTTGCAATAATAATAGTGTCTTAATAAATTATTAATTTATTAACTGAAAAATTAAATAAAATTAACAAGATATTTGGTACTTTTAGCCCCCGCCCCCCCTCACACACACACACACACACACACACACACACACACACACACACAAAAAGCTGTATTTAGCACAAATTGTTTCACGATATTAAGAAAATTTGCATGTCTTCGTTCTATCTTTATATAAAGAACATATGTATATAGAACTACTTTATCAACCTTTATTTAAGTATGAATTATTAAAAAGAACAATAAAAATTGAGATATAATGTTGGAATATCAAAAATACCCCACGCAAATAATTACTGATTACGTTTGAAAGAATTAGCAAGTAATACAGGATTGTACTTAAAGATGCCACAAAAAGCAAAACGAAATGCGCAGCGATATCCGTCAAAATCATGTAAAATATGAATAATTGAATAAACCGTAAATATTTTTCATATGCGACAGTTGGGCATGAACAGGTGAACAGTGAGGGGAGGGGAAGCGTGTCATGTGACAAACAGATGGGGGAGCGTGCCGCGCAATAGTTGACCACGTCATCACTTCGGCATTCGCTCGGCGATTTCGGAGAGAAATGAATGTATTTTACGAATCGTTCCGGATGTCGCATTAATTAATAAAAATTAAATATCTATGAACGCGAATTGTAAGATTGCCTAAAACTAAGGAGTGTACTAAAGATTAATAAGTTTTATTACACAGTTTTTGCTTTATTTCTTAGATTCATTACGCACATACATAGCTCATGAACATTTTTATGTGCTCTCATATATACGGTATAAAAATGAGATTGTTAGATATTTCAAATTGTGGCTTTTTATCACTTTGAATCATATAATTCTGTCATTTTTGTGTTACTCCGCATTCTTATGATACGGGAAAAATAACAGATAAATTATATTTAAATTACATGTCTCTAAATATATGTGCATGCTATTTATACGTATTATTCTATTTAGTCGAAAGTTTTTCATAATTTAAAATAAATTTTTTCATTTATCTTCATTTAAAGGATGTATATATTGTTAATCTTTATTTAATTGTAAATCACAAAAAAGAGCAATAAAAATTGAGATATAATATTAGGATGTCAAAAGCACTTCACGCGAGCAATTATGTAAGAAAAATCACGCTTGTAAAAACTTCCTTTTACTTCTTGCTTTTTTGTCAGCCCATTATAATTGATACGAAATATTTAAAATTATAAAATGAACATCAAATATGTATGTTTCTTGGTGTATCACGATATAATTATGGTACTACATTAAACGACTCGCGCCGCTAAAATAGATACATATAAGAAATTATTTCATTAATCGGAGAACATTAAAAATGTAAAGAATATATTATTTTATTTCATAATATGCGTTAATATTTCGTCAGTTAGACAGTTGGCGCGCGACCTTGGGTTGGGGATGGCATGGGGTGGCACGGAGCGGCGCGTCATGTTTATGCATAGTTATCGCGCAATTTATTCTCTTACCGAGAATCGTACAAGCACGTAGTCGTGTCGCGTGCGGTTCTTTTTCACATTACTTTTTGAAATCTTATCGCGAAGAATGCCAAATATAATACGAAACGTTGTACTTTATGAATAATTAATCATATTAGTAATCGTATTATGTGAATATTCATAAAATACAACATTTCGTTTATTATATCTAGCAATGTGAAGAAGAACGGCATGCGACAGGGCTACTTATCTACGAACGGTATCACACGAGTCATAAAAATGCAATGTTAATATGAATATTCTCATGCAAATAACGCAATTCCTGCTTTCACAATTGATATAGTTTAATAATTTAATTTTTTGTTTTTGTGCATCTTTCGTTATACGATCCGTTTAAAAATTAAACATAACTTTGAAACTATTTATCGATAAAAGAAATTTCTCTTTTTTATTAATCTCCAGCCCATTTCATTGACTCTAATTATATCTTTACAGACATAATCTAGAAATAAAAGATTCAACCCTTTTATCTGCTCTGAATTTATTTCGCAATGATAACGAATTGCAGACGTCTATTTGATATTCGTTTCTAAAAGTTAACCGATTGCATAATAATTGCATAATAATTGCATAGTAATATAGATAATAGCTATATATATTACATTTTTCAGATTATCTTCCCTCTCACGGGTGGCCTTGACGTAGTGGGAAGGCTCATCCAAAGAATATTTACACGAAGAAAAACGATTTTTCTCAAGTATCTAAAAATTGATGGATCTATCTGATATATCTAGATAAATTTTCTAGATCTAGATATTTGAATAAAATCGTTCTCTTCGTGTAAAAATCTAACGATGGAGAAGCTAACATCGCCGATTTGAAAATGAATGAACTGCAATCAGTTCGTCGCGTCGCGCGTTTGTTTCGGGAGTGTCGTTCAAGTTATCGGACTCAAGTTTATAAATCCGCGCGCGATTATAGTATTATTTGCGAGTGTTTTACTTGAGTATTCTGTGCGAGAGGATATCAACCCAATTCTGAGAGGAGGAGGAAGTCTGAGAGAGGCATCAGGTACCGGCGGAACAACCTTGCGATAAATACTATTATCTTTTATTTGTGCAAAATTAATCCTTTTTTACTTGTTTTTAAATCATTCTATTTGACAATAATTTAAAAATGATTATTAAATTATTGTTAAATAAAATGAATTAAATAGTATATATTCTATAAAATAATTATATAAAATGATTTTATAAAATAATTTTA